CACAGCTTTTAAATGTGTATGTTCAATTCTTATTTTGCGCATAAAGGCACTTCTAGCATTTGAAAAAAATCAGTGAAACTGTCAATAACAAATTTCTTTTAAGATTAAGGTTCTGTGCAAAAGTATGCATTTAAAAAAATAAATGGACAGAGGGGAGGGAAGGCAACTAAGGCTATTTAAAAACTGAGTTTAATTCAGTCTTAGTTTATAGCTTATTTCTCGTAATGATTATGATATACTTTTATATATATATATATATATATATATATATATATATATATTTTTTTTTTTTTTTTTTGCATTGCATTGCATTGCATTGCATTGCATTAGATATGAGTACCCACTAATTTTTTTTCTGAAATCACTTTAAGAAAGTCTGTTAAATCAGTAAAAAGAAAAATTTATTCTGAAAATCAGTGTTGATCCAAGGTTATTGGCAGTTTAAAGGGAAGACACAATTTTTAAAGTTTTACCCAGAGCCATTTTTAGGAGTTTATTATTTCTTACTGAATCGGATCTTATCAGCAAATTTTTAAATATTACGAAGCCTACGATTTATAGAAACTAAAAAGATATGTCTTTTTACTTCTTAAGTTGCTAATTTTGTATATTGACACATCAAAAATCAACTTTTTATATCTGCAAACATTTTTTAAGATTTTTTCAATAAAGTAAATATTAAAAATGTGCTGATATTAAAATAAATATTAAAAATGTGCTGATATTAAAATAAATGTTAAAAATGTGCTGATATTAAAATAATATTAAAAATGGAGTATTAAGAAAATTATTCATAAGAAATCTGAAGAAAAAGTCAACATACTACATTAAAAGCAAATACATCAAAACTTGTAACAAAAGTTAGATGCCTCATAGAATTTCCAAATGGAATATTCAAGAGGCAAAATATTTTGTCACTGATGATTTTTTATGTGCAGCAATCAACAGATTTCATCCAATGAACATAGATTTTCTTTTAACATGCAACATAATCAACCCAAAGGTAGGTTAGACCTTTCAGTATTTCTTAATACTCCATTTTTAATATTTATTTTAATATCAGCACATTTTTAATATTTATTTTAATATCAGCACATTTTGAATATTTACTTTATTGAAATTTATTAATTTATAAAATTCAGCCTAAAATATCATATTTTTGCCCAAGTCCACTAATATGGATTTTGTAGTGGTGTAACAGTTTTTACTTTTTAATGATTAATTTAAGTTCTAATGAAAGAATATGGATAAAAATTGGTACGTGACCATTTTTGAGTGTACTGAATCTATAGAAGACGACCCAATTTAAAAGTTGTTCAGCTCTCATGAATTAGAATTTTTAAGATAAAAGAAGATATGTTAAGCTATCATAAAATTAAATATGATTTTGGTCTTTTAAAACATAATAAAGATATGGTTCTTAAAAATTTAGATCAAAAAATTCCTATAGACTCACATTCTCCATTATATATTTTGTTGTGACTAACTCTCAGTGAAATAAGAGGTGTAAGTCAATCTTGATAAAAGCAATAGTTTAGGTCTCTTAAAACATAAAATATATGGCATAATTGTGGAAAATTCTATTCAATTCAATTTTTATTTTTGTAAGTCCGCATTGAAATATAGTTTTATTATTTTATGATTTACATGAAAGTTTACATGGAAATGTAATTTTAATATATATAAATGAAATCAATGTTGCTGGTTGCATTTCACAATTTAAAAAAATTTCAAATGCTGAGTTAAAACTGAGAAATTAAAATTTTTTGAAATAGAGTCAAATAATATTTTTTTTAATCTTCTTGAAATAAAAAACAATAATGCAAAAATAAAATTGAAATTTAAGTTGTTATCATTTAAACAATAATTTAAATGACAACAACTTAAATTAAAAAATAAGTTCAGAGATTGGTCCCCACCACGTCCCTGGTAGTACCGCATTCAACTTGTTTCTCCGTGTAGTGGCCTTGTTCGTCAAGGTTCGTGTTTTGGAGTTATAAAGTTGAGAGAGGTTTGTAACCACAAAAGTTGCCTTCTCAACTGTAGTGGCCTTCTCAGCCTTAGGGAGGGAAATGATTAAAAAAATTTTTTTAAAAAATAGCATTCAAAAAATACCCCAATTTGGCTAGTATTATGACTTGGATAATGTGGATGTACAAAGTTTACTATAAAGAAGAAAGAGGCAATTGCATATGTGAAATAACAAAATCTACAAGGCATTCAACAACAATTAAAGTGTCAACTCACGAACAACCAAATCGGATCTTTTCAAATACATCAAGCTTTAGTAAAAGCAGATATTATCAACAACGTACAGGTTATTCCAACTTGGTTGAAAGGCAAGAACAACTTGATCAGCAAGAAGGCAAAAAACAATATTATCAAAAAACTTAACAAAGACAACCGCAATTTTATCAACAACAATACCAACCATACCAACAACAAAACCCTTTGAAATATCATCAAAAACAACATCAACCATACCAACAACAATCCAAGGAATGCAATAGAGACTTACAATATTTTATACTGAATAACAGTATTCTATACTGTTATCATATTTGGGCTATGTTGAGATTATCAATAGTATTGTGATAATTGTTTGTAGTAAGTAGCTAAGTTTTGTTTAAGTTAAAATTCACAAGCAACTGCAAGCCCCAAACTGTCACAGAACAGAGATTCAAGATGGCTGCCTGTTGTGATCAAAAAGTGAGTTTATGTCATCAACAAATAAAGTTTAAATGTAAGGTTATTAGAAAGATTAATAATAAAGATGAGGAACAGCACTGGATTAAATATAGAATCTTGTGGTACCCAGAAGCCATTGTAGGAATTCTTTTTATAAGGCGGTTTTAGTTATATAAAATAAAAACCTTCAAAAAAACCTTTTAAAAAAAGGATCTTCTTTGAGGGTGGGGATAAAACCTCCTCCTCCATAGATTCGTCTTTGGTGGTACCCTAGATGTTAATGAAAATGAAGGAGAGTGTTGTTCACCAAAATCAACTTTAATACTGTGTTTGTTTTAATACTGTGATTGTTTACTGAGTACAACTTTTTAGCTGCCTCTCGTTGAAAAATTCATCTTTATAGTCTAACTTAAGTTTGAGCCTTTTAATTTTTGTATTGGTGATTTTTTTTAGCTTTTTCTCCACTTATTTGAAATCTTTGGAAACCAGACTCACTTTCAGCACATTTAATTATCATGTGATAGCACTTTTAGGTATATTCTCAGTTTTAAAGTGGTCATAAATGAATTTTTTACCAACATTTCTGTAATTTAAATAAAATTCATACACACTTTTTTTAATCTCTTTTTGTTTTGAATTTTTTTAAATTCATTTTTCTTAAAAAAATAAAAATACATAAAATATTTAAAAACTAGAAAAAAAATACTATTTATAACATTTTTTCCTTTTTATTTTACTTTAAAGAAGTTGTATTTTTTTATGCGCTTTTAAATCCAGACTTGTTTTTCAGTTGTCACCCATTAGATGGGTTGAAAAAAAAATTTAATCCAAGTTTTTTAATTTATATCCTCTTTCATAGGTTGAAAAAAAAAATGGGTTGAAAAAAGGCAAAACTCAAACACAAAATCAAAATTTGTTCTTGTTATTTTCGAATCAAAAATTGACCATCAAAAAATTAAAATTTGGTTATTTTATCTGCATTTTGGATCCAGCACAAAATGATCTAGAATTTAAAGTATTCATTTAAAAAGTATTACAAAACCCATAATGACTCAATTTCAAGACTTTTAAATTTGAAGAAAATCAGTATGAAATATAGCGGTGACTAAAAAAATTTTTTGTCCTACCTTTTCATGGAATTATCCAAACACAATGTTCAAACATGGTATCAAGGTGACTGAAAAAAAAAATTTTATCCTACATTTACATGGAATTATCCAAACATGGTATCAAGGTATTACATAAGGTATGGATAATACCACTTGCTTCCACTTTTTCCACTTTGCTCATTCGCTCGTATTGATCAAGATCATATTGTTTCAGAAAGAAAAAATGTTGCCAAAATGCTTTTCTTAAAACTAGTTCCTAACATTTTAGCTATAGGAAAAACCAGATTTGTTAACTTAACATTAGAAAAAGTTTTTAAAAAACAAAGGAAAAATTTTGCTTCGCATTTGGCTTAATAAACCTAATCTAATTTTGGCTCAATAAACCTAATGATTAACAGTTTTAATGATAAATAGTCTGATATAGCTATGTGAGTTTGTTGATCGGTTTAAGATTTTTTGGCTATGGGATAATTAAGTGCATGATGTTTTATTATAATTAGTAAATTGTATGTATATGTGTGATTATGTTTTGGTAATTTAGAGATAACTCAGTTTTAATTGGTTTTAATTACTCATAAACGTCAAATTGGTTTTACTCGTAAACTTCTTATAAACTTTTTAAGACTTTTTTTTTTTTAACAGTAACAAGATTTCAACTTAGTAAATTATTTTTTATATGAAGTTTATGTAATTGCTATGTTTTTATTTTATTATTATTAGTTACTCTGTTTTTTTTATTATTATTTTATTTATTGCACCTAATAATTGTCTTAATTTGCATAAATAACTAAAGTAACTATTTCTTTAACTCATTGGCATAATTAACTAAAGTAACTATTTCTTTAATTCATTTGCATAATTAACCAAAGTAACTGTTTCTTTAATTCATTTGTATTGTTATTACCAGTTTTACTAATTTTTATGTAACTAAAATATTAATGTTGTATTGATATTATTATGTAATTTGTAATGTTAAAATTATTTAATATAAAAATTGATATAAGATAGAAAATCTATTGGTTTGATATCCACACTTGTGTGGTTTGGATAATTAATTTAATGTTAATGTCTTACAACCTTAATGCCAGGAATTGCATCGTTGTAAGAATATGCTTTAACTCTACCATGAGGTAAATATATTATGACATTATGGAAAACTTTCCAAACAATTTTTTATATTGTGTTTTTTTACCAATTTTTTAGTGCCAAGATTCTGAACAAATGGATCTTATTCCTCTTGGGTCTTGTAAAGCTCCTTGGAATCCACGCACTCAACTTCTTCTGCCATGTTCATCTGTTAATCTCACTGTTCCTCCTAATGCGTTTGTTGAAAATGGTCGTGCTGTAAAAGCACACATATTATCTTTCACAGTCATTATTACAGTGCCTAAAAAAGGTTCATCAAAAAACATAAAATCAGACCGAACTGAAGGTATGTAAGGTTTTTAAAAAATATATTGTTTTACTTTTGTGTATTATGTACTTTTATACATTTTTGTTCATTCATATTGAGAATAATATTTTTAATTTTCAACATAAAACTTTGCATTCCAGAGTTTACACTAATAACAATGAAAATAAATATGAAATGCTGGATGGGGTGAAAATAGCTTTTATCATAATTATTTACAAGAAAAACTGTAGTATTATGCCTTTATTTACAATAGTGCTCAAAAATTTAGCACACAGCAGAATTAAAATTACTTTTATAACTTAAAAAATAAAAAAAAATGTTCTTTATAACTTAAAAAATTGACAAAAATATAAAATTTTTTAGTTATTTCAAACACAAAATTTAATTTTTAGAATATTTAGAAAGAAAAAAAATGACAATGAAAAAAACATTAAATTTTTTTAAAGAAATTAATCATATCTAGAATATGCTGTCTAGATCTAGATCTAGAATATGCTATCCCCACCTGGTGCCCTCACCTTAAAAAAGACTACTGAAATTGAACAAATAAAACATCATGCCACAAAAATGTCTCATGAATTAAAGTACCTTGATTACAAGACAAGATGTGATATACTTGAACTAACTTCACTAAGTGACAGAAGATAACGCGGTGACTTTTTCCAAAAATTCAAAATTAAAAATAAAGCTGAATTAATCAGCTGGCATATTGACCCAATATACATTTCTCCCATCTATGGTCATCGCAAATTAACCATCTATAGTCATCGCAAAAATAATCGCAAAACTGCCTCGTTCGACTTTTTCAATGATCGGGTTGCAAATACTTGGAATGCTCTGCCGGATGATATTGTCAACGCTTCTAATATTGACAGTTTCAAAAAAAAACTAGACCAGCAACTCACCTAGTTACCACAGTGCATCATTTTCCGTGGCAGTATATTGCAGCTATACGAGCTAGCTTGCTAGCTAATGACAAACTTACGGTTCATATCTGTACCGTGTAATATTTATTGTAATTGTAATTAATATAACAAATACAATTTAATACTAAATAGAATGTGCTCTAGAGTACAAAAAGTTTGGGAATACCTGGTCTATTCGATCATTGTATAACTTGTGTAGACCTGGGCCATCATAAGTAATACAGCCCCAATTACCAGCTGCACTACCTTCACCTTGTAGCATAGGTGCAATACAGTGACTATCATAATTTTTATTGTAGTGCCTACAGACCATTACTTTGTTTTTATGATTTAAGATGGTGTAGTTAGATTAATCACAATTTTTCTTAATTCATAATAACTCATTTTTGAAATTGCTTTATAAAACTAAATTTAGTTTGTTTTAAATGGTCTGTTGGTTTTAATAATGATTTTCTGGCAGCAACATAGCACAACAGTTTATGGTCGATTAATCTTTTTGTCTTGATATTTGATTATTAAGTACCAGGTTTATTTCTTGTGTAATTTGTTTTGCTGAGTATTTAAGATTTTTCAGGCAATTCTATAAATTGAATTATCATCAGTGATACTTGTCATGGTTGCTCAGTATGCTTTTTGTCAACAGTACTACCAGCTCCATTAAACAATTAGCAAGTTATACTGTAACAATGATGTAAGGTTACGTCCAAAGCATCATTTTCTTGTGCATTTGCCCAATATTATAACTAAGTCTGGTCCACTTGTTGGCATGAGTTGTATGCCATATGAACTGAAAAATTACAGTAAAACTAACGCTAGATGATTTATTTATAAATAAAAAAGTTTTTTTAATAACTGTTTTATGCTTCGCGTAGTTTGAAAAGTTTAACACATTTGAAACTATTCTTTTTAGTAAGATGAACAAATGAAATAATTAAATCATTGAGTTACTGTAGAAATTTAATTAACTAGATAGAAATTAACTAAAAACGTTAAATTACTTAGTGAGGAGGAAGCGGAACAGCTTCACATTACCGCTGATAATGTTTAGTGAGTGGGCTTTATAATTTTAATTAGTATTTAAAACAGAAAAGAGTTAAGTATGACGAGTTTGTAAGAATGGCTGAAGCAAAAATAATTGAAGTTAGTTAACCAATTTCTAAGAACTTAAATACTTTTCTTTCTAAGAACTTAAAAACATAAAATTTAAAACATTTATTTTTGCAAACAATTAATGTTAGATTAAAACATTTATAGCTTTGTAGATGTGGCTTCGAAAATGACATAATATTAAAATAAAAGTTCATTTGAAAATATATTGTTAAAACAATTTATGCTAGAAATCTCGACGAAAACATAACAAAACTCAAATAATACAACTTTTTAAAATATACAGAATACTCTAGAACATTCGGTTAGTATTTTTTGAACACTCAAGAAATTTCCGCTAGTATTTTTTGAACCAATAGAATTAGTTGTTAGTAGATTTGGCGGGTTTTTTGTTTTCGCGAGTATTCTTTTTTGTATTTTTCCGCACAAAGTTTGAGAACATTTGAGTTTATGTATGTTTCCGTGTAAGTCCGTAATACAAAATATTACTAGATTTACGATAACTTAATAATTATTTTACGGACAAACAAGGAAACATACATGAACTTGAATGTTCTCAAAACGACTAAAAAATCTGGCCGGTTTTTCACAATTAAATATTATTTCCGTGGTCAAACTAAATATTATTTCCGTGGTCGGGAAGCAAGTGCGATCGCACTCGCTTCCTGACCAAGTCTGATGTATGGAACAAAAGTAAATTTAATTCTGCTGCATGCTAAACTTTTGACCACTATTGTAAGTGTACTTAAAAAAAAAAAACTAAAAACTTAAAAATGTAACTGCTCCATTTTTTAAATTCTTTCTTTTAACTTTTGGCTTTTGCATGTTTGCTTGCAGCCAAATCTTGTGATCCTGTTATCCTATTGATTTAAAATTTTGGTTATAGATATTGTTAACAATTTATTCTATCAAATTTTGGGGGCTCAGATGAGAGATTTTAAGTTATTCATTTAAAAACATCCATTTAAAAGTTGAAAAGTTGTAAGGATCCACCTTTACAGCCTAATAATTTAAACATAGATCATAATAAGATGAAAACACAACATAAAATATTTGAATTGATAACTTTCTAAATTAGATTTAAATTACAAATTTTAATTTAATGATTACTATTGGATTTGACAGTAATATAGTTCCAGATTTATTCTTTTAATGCAGTTCTGATTTTATTTGATTTTTTAAATTTGCTATGGTACAATATTTATTTCTTATATTTTCATTAACAATGGTTGTTCAATAAATATATTGTTCAAGCAGGAATGATGAACATAATTTTACATATCTTAATTATATTATACTTCTTTTTTAGTGTAAATCAAGTTATTTCTCTGCACAGGGGCCTTGTTTATCAAGGTTTGTGCTTCAGCGTTGAAGAGTTGAAAAAATGTTGTAACCACAATAAAGTAGCTTCCTTGACTGTAGCTTTCTCGGCTTTGGGGATTCAACTACAACGAAACCAATTATTTAAAATCGACTTTTAACATCAGGCATTAAGACTCCAAAGGGAAATCAGCCGTTATATATTTGGTCTTCCTACTGTTTTATCAAAGAATGAGCTGCTTGCAACAGCTATTAAAAAATCAAAAATGGTAGTTGTGACTAAGGCAGATTGAAGTAAAGTAAAATAAATATAACTTAAGAGGTAAGAGAAAGTTAAAAAAAGATGAAAATTTATAAAACATGTACATGTCTAATAAGATTACTTCACTATATTTTGATGATAGAAATGATGAAACTTTAACCAGGAAAAGAAAAACAGATAAATGATGATAACAGATAAATGATATGTTCTAAGAAAGAAGAGCATAATGTGTTAGTTGAAGCAGCTGGAAATATATATTTGTCACAAGTTTCACTGAAATCTTGTAAAAGCAAAGATATTGCATATTTTCCAATATACCAGTTGTTGGTTGTGATAGCACCAATCTAAACACAGGTTTCAGAAGAGGAGTAATACAGAACTTGAAGAAAGCATTAGGGTGTCCACTTAAATTGCTTATTTGTCTTCTGTGCTCAAACGGAACTCCATTAAGGCATTTGTTTAATTAACTTGCTGGTCCAACATCCAGCAAATATTTGATTACAGGACCAATAGGTAAAACCGTTCAGGTGTGAAAAATAGACTTTCAACCTTGAATAGATGGCAATAAATTACTACTTAAATTACTTAAATTATCTAAAAAGGCACTTCTCCATCTAAGTAAAGATTAGGAGTATATTTACAACATTATTGTTGCCATAAGAGTAGGAAATGTAATCAAAGTTCTTGCTAGGGTGAAACCCGGACCTAGAAATAACAATAGATGATTAACTTTCACCAATAGAGTTCTCAAACTGTTATCCACAATAAAACTGGACACAAATTTAAATTTATATAAATTGACTACTAAGTTTGAACACCTCTGCTCTAATGGACTGCATTTGTTTCTGGCTTACAGTTGTTGAAACATTTACCTTCATTGGTTGTTGATATTCGAAAATGTTCTTTTATAGATAATGTCTGACCTCAAAATAAGTGTGTTAAAGCTACAGACATTGTTCTCAAGTTAAAAGACTAACTCTTAAAGGCAAACCTAAAAATTAGATTTAAAATTAAACTTGAAATTCAAATATAAATATCAAGTACCAAAAATGCTAACGGGTAAGATGAACAACAGACAATTTTCAAACTACAGAACCACCGCTTCACATTAAACAATCAAACAGATCCAATCAGTCATTGGTGCAAGGGCGTGGTGGCTGTAAATAGCTCATGCAGGATTTCATTAAAAAAGCCTATATGTGCTGGATTTTACCATATATGATGGATGTAAAAGCCCATACATGTGCGGTAAAAAAAGATATCTATCTATCATTTTATCCAACCCATATTTTGTGTGCATTTATTTTATAATTATTTATATGTTCCAAAATTATTAATAAATTTAGTATAAACTTCATTTATTGAACTTTTTTTTTTATATACAAAACAGAAAATGAAGCTATGATAATAAAATTCGTCATTTTTTGAGCTAATTAATTTTTTAAAAGACGCCTAAGCATTAAAACTTTTTGACTAAGCAGCCCGGTTTTTATCATTTATATTAAAATGTTGCAATTAATTATCGATTTACATTTTTATTTCAGTATTTTTAAAATTTTTTGTCTGATGATTTTTATAAATTTTAAACGAATATACTTTTAAATTTATTTTATAAAATCTTTAACGTAATAGTTTTTTTAATGTTTATAGTAACCAATAGTAACCGATATTTTTTATTACACTTTTAAATATGAGTTATGTTACATTTGCTTTCACGCCAAAGTTTTTCGATACTAAAACTGTTTATAAAAGTAAAAAAAGTAGAAAAAATTTAAAAAGATTTATCAAAAAATATATTATATAAAATTATATAATATATATTATATATAATATGTTTTATATATTATATAAAATTTGGCAAAGTATAGTATTTTTTAAAAAACATAATACAAATATATTTTCCTTTTCCAATTTTAGTTTTTTAAGCTAAGATTTTTTAAGTTGAAGCTTATAATACAAACCAACAAGTTGGTAATACTTTAAAACTAAAAACCGGTAACGCTGCACTGCAGCGACCAAGTTTTTGTTTTGATTTCCTTAAAATACAACTTTGCCGCTAAGTTATTGTAATCAAGTAAGATTTTTATTTTATTATTTGAAGAACATTAACACAAAATTAAAAATCATAGATTTTAGTTTTATTATGTAATGTTGTTTGTTTTATCATAAGATTAATTGTATTAAATTATATATAAAAAAAAAAAAAATTGAAAAAAAAATTTTTTTCTTGAATTTAATTTTGCATTTTAACTAGCATTTTTGCAAAGCATTAACACACCACAGCATTCTAAAAATGTAATTTACATACCTTAAAATATTTGTACCTTAAATATAAAAAGTTTTTATATTGTAGTTTTATTAAGCACTTAATCGAAAAGTATTTCATGTTTCTCTAAAAATGCTATTTAATTATTTTTTTATTTTAAAAATAAATAGATTTTTTTCAGAATGTCAAAAAAAATGCTAAAAGGCCCATACTTGAATTAAAAAGTGCTAAAAGGCCTTTATTTAAATAAAAAAGTGAAAAGCCTATACGGGAATCCTGCATGGCCTCTGGGACCACCACGCCCCTGTACCTCTTATAGTTAATAGTTATTCAAACCATATGCAAAGTGTTGAACGCTGTGTTAAGCTTGTGACCAAGCTGCTAAGTTGGTATATGGATCAGAATTAATAGATGACAAGGACAAACTCACACCTGTTTTAGTACTGCTGTAACTGTATGGAAGTCTAAAAAAAAGCGCCCAAGTCATATTATTTATTGTTTTTTTTTATGTTTTTTTATTAAAAATAGGGAAAAAATAGTTTTTGCATTAGTTTAATTATTTTATATATTTTATTTTATTTTTCATTGTTTCAAATTAACAATCGCATGCTTTAGACAGGTTCACCATAATATAGTTTATAGTGGCGAGGAAATTATTTTTCTTGGTTTCATTAAGATATAAATAATATAAATAAGGTGCTATAAAAAAATATCAGACAAGTTTTTTGTCTTAATTTTTTTTTTTATTTCTCTTGACTGTATTCTTTGTTTCAACTTTTTTTATCCTATTTTTGAATCTTGTTTTTTATGTTTTTTGTGTGTGTTTTTTTCATATCTAATTTATTATTGCATTTCCTTATTGCTTTTTTATTTGTATTGATATTTTATCTATATAGTTTATTCATTTTTATTGTAGAAAATGGATTACATCGCCCATTAAAACGTCAAAAGTGTGACAATTCTGATGCTGACAGTGAAACTAATAGTTTAACTTATCCAGCTGATGTATGTGTAGCATCATTTTCGGCAGAAATGATTCTCTATGACCGTCTTAAAAATTGCTTGTTGACAGATGGGGATTATGAGTTACTCTTACATGAAAATTCACCGACAATTCGAAAATCAAACAGTTGGGAAAGCAAGTTCAAATCAAAGGTTTTATGACAAATCTAATGTTGATAATTTTAGTGATAATGTTTAATTACTTTTTTGGTTTGTAGAAGTTTAATTTTATTTTTTAAATTTAAAAACTAATGTTGTAACTGGTATGTATTATTATTACTTACCATAAGTAACAATAAATATGTTATTACTTACCAGAGGTAACAATACATATATTATTATTTACCTTAAGTGACTACATATATTATAACTTACTGTTAATGCATCATCAGTAAAGCATTTCATTTGACTTGATTTGGTAATAACTACTGAATAATTAAATTTTATTAAGAGCTGTATAATAGATAATATTTAATAACTCAAGTTTAGTGAAAACCACCATTCACACCCACTACATCTACTCTGTTCAGGTGACCTACAACACCCACTCTGTTCATTCTTCATACACTTACATCTTATTTTTTAGGTAGTGAACTTTTTGTTTAGGTAGGATGGAAGATGTTTTGCTAGATTTAAATAGTTATGATGCTTCCCTAAAGCCCAGTCACCTAAACTTTTATTCCAGGCCTGACTTTATATTAGAAATCTATTCATAGATAATATGATCAATGTTATCATAACTAGATTACACTATTTACTATTGTTCTGCTAGATAACTCCTTTTGTAATATTTTATAAAATTTGGTTTAAATTTTTTATTACAGAACTACTCAGTTTTTCTTGGTATATAGGGGGGTTGCAAAAAAAAAAAAAAGTTACACTCAATTTTTTGATAAAAAAAAAACAACAAAAAATGTCTTAAACTTGTATAATAAAAGTAATTTAGATTTTAAAGAAATGTATGTGATATTATTGTATATTACATATAATTAAAAGAAATTAGGTTTTTTAAAGTATTTTTTAATTTTTAGCTGTTTTAATAATTATTTGGCCCTCCTTTGTTTTACTTATGACTTCTACATACTTTCTTATGATTTCTGCATATAAGGCATACTATCTACGAGTCTTTTTATTAAGTCAATTGGCAAAGCATTCTAACCAACAAAAAGAATTTGAAACAGCTCATCTTCGTTTGTAGCCTACGATCTGGCAATTTTCTATCCAATATAAACCCAAAATCTTCTATTGGATTTAAATCAGAAGATTGTGCTAGCCAAAAAATAACTGCTATCAATTTAAATTCTAGATATCTTTTATTCAACCGTGTTTAAGATCATTAAATGAAAGATGTAGTCATGTCATGAAAGTCATGAAAGATGTAATCATTATTAGAGAAAAGCTCTTCTATACTTGGTCCAAGTTGATTACTTTAGATTTTGTAATACAAATGCTGGTCTATTGTACCCTCCACCCAGTAAAGATTTTTGATTTTGTGTGCACTAAAACAACCCCAAACATTAATATTTTTGGCATGTTTAATAGTTGTCTTGCATGTTTGGGGGTTGAACTCAATTTCTAGCAGTGAGATCGACTATTATAAAACAACACAAAAGTAGACTCCTTGCTCCAAATAACTTTAGCCCATAGTTCACATTTTCAATTTTTGTGCTCATTGCACCATTCTATTATTTTTTTGCAATTGATTTCACTAATGATTTTTTTATTTGCTTTCTAGTCAAAAACTTACTTGATGATTTTATTTGATAAGATATTGCCCATTTTGAGATATTAGTAAGGTTCAAATCTTATTTTATTTTACTGCGTTAGTTTTAAAAACGAAAGAAGTAAAAAAGAGTAATATATTTAATAAAGAAATTAAAAATCTTTAATAAAAAATTAAAATCTTTACTATCTAATAAGCATAAAAACATGTCATAAATTCTTTTTTTTTTTTAAAGCTGGGACCGTTTGCAGCATTTTCTTTTGGTCCGACTATAAAGTTTAACCTCACCTGGGGAACAAAACCAATAGCACCACTGGCAGCTGCCTATAAATGTCTTGCATCTCCTTATCAAGACAATTCCAATATAAAGATTGAGTTAGAAATGTCAAAAGAAACAAAGTCTGTTGCAGTAACTTCTGCAGAAAAGAATATGCGAATGTTTTATCGGTTTATTTATAATGGATCCACTAGACAACAAACTGAAGCCAAAGAAGGTATGGCCTGTCCTTGGTGTGCATTGGACTGCAAAAGATTATATGTTTTGTTAAAGCATTTTAAAACTTGTCATCCTCGATTTTCTTTTGTATACACAGTAAGTTTTGCATATTTTAAAAACATTTATTTTAAATTTTCATATTTTTAATTTTGTTTATTACTATTGAAGTTAAACTTATTTTTTACTTAATTTCTTATTCTTATTAATAACTTATTCGATAACATTGTGATAAATTGTTTCCTATTAAAATTTATTGTACTCTTAAGATAATTTTAAATATTTTTTCTTTTTAATCGTTTATGCGACACAGAGATCGCAAAAAGTGACCAACAGAGCTGTCCAGTTTCATAGACCTGAGAGATGTGATAATAGAATCAGATTGTAGATGATGTCATTTAGGTAAAAAAACATAAATTAATGTAAAGTCTATTTAGTAGGAAAAATAAAATTTAACGACTCAGGAAGAGGGGGAACCATAACTCGCACTCTAGTCATCCTTAGCAAATGATGAGACAATGGTATATGAGTAAACAAGTCAATATAAGTTTGCTGGTTTATTAATAACAACTATGGCTAAAATTATCGTACCATACAAAAACAAAATAAAACAAGTTATAACAAAATAGCAAGTAAAATGATAATAAATGGTAGTTCAAGGCAACATAAAAAGAAAAAATAGGCTAATAAATTTGGTACTATTTATGGTCTAAACTCTAGATAATAAATTGAAAAATGATAATCACCTGTGTAACAAAAAAATATATAAACGTCGTTAATGTGATAAATTCATAATATAAAGCTAATGCGGTAGTGGTGTAGTGGTAAAACACTCGCTTCATAAGCGAGAGGTTCCGAGTTCAATCTCTACCACGTCCCTGGTAGTACCGCGCTCAACTTGTTTCTCCATGCAGCGGCCTTGTTTGTCAAGGTTCGTGTTTCGGAGTTATAGAGTTGAGAGAGGGTTATAACCACCATTAAGTAGCCTCCTCATCTGTAGTGGCTTTCTTGGACTTAAGGAGGTGAATAACAAAAAAAAAAAAAGCTCACAAAGCGCTATAATTCATGAGGTAAAAAAAATGTTGGTGCCATTATAACCAATTAGAATTAAGTAGTGGATGAATGGTGATCCTCTCCTCAGGAATGCACTGCAATCACCAATGATGTTTCGGAGAGCTTAAGACCTGCACTAATGCCACTCGTCAGGGGCGTGTCCTTGCAACAGATATGTATATATATATATATATATTATATATATATATATATATATATATATATATATATATAGACACACACACACACACACACACACACAGTTAATTCTCAATAATTCGAACCTCCAAGGGACCAATGAAAATGGTTTGACTTAAATGTGTGACTAAAGCGAGTTCCCAAAGTTAAACTTTGGCTAAAATGAGATATTAGTTTGACTTAAGCAAGACCGACGCCACCAATGGGGCTAGAGGGCACATGTCCACTTTTTGTGTAAAGGATATAAGTGCGTATGTGCCTTTTTTTATATTATTTAGAAATTTTAAGATATAGAGGGGTAAAACGAAAAGTTTCAACTCAAGGGCCATCACTGAGAAAATCACAGAAAGAGTACTAGTCAGCTTTAAGGTAGTTAGTTTTAAGCAGTATGATTCTGATGATGAATAAGAATGACATAATAGTTTTAGAGAGATCAAACCATGATTGGAAGCACTTAAGGGTGAATGTGGAGAAACTGAGCACTGACTAGGATTAGAAACAAAACACAAATCAAGTAGAGAAGGAAATATGATTCGGATTGTCTGGAGAGCAAGTTGGAAAGTCGACTAATTGTGTTAGAGATTGAGAATAGCAAATGTTGTGGGCTATAGAGTCACTGACACTAGAACCAAGTCATTTAGTGTGATGAGCATTAAAGTCACCAACAACATCGTTATTGGCTGAAAGATAAAGAGAAAGGGCTTGGTCAATTTGATCAAAAATATCTAATTGATCATGCCCTTTCAGATCAGAAATAACAACAAAAAGAGTGCAGTCTTGAGATGAAGGAGAACGATATAGAATAAAGAGAAAGGAGATGAATCTTCAATGTGTTCCATCCAGTCTATTTTTAAATCTTATATTTTTTATTCGATAAAACAAATAATATATTTTTAAATATATTAAAATAAAACAAATAATATATTTTTTATTCGATAAAATAAAGATGAGGCAGCCAAAAATAGAAATTTTGATACTGCCTGCTTACACTTTCCATTTTAGCCGATGATTTAGACTTTTTTTGAAAATTTTTATAAAGTGTAAATATTAGAATCTAATATAATTTCATTAAAATATAACAAATCTAATATTTTAATGAAATATTTGATTTAAATTTTTCACACCATATACAGTTACGTTTGTATGTAAACAATGTGTGTATGTATGTTTATATGTATGTATGCATGTAAACAGTTGTGTGAAAAAATAGAGTGAATTGGAGTTAAAATTGCAAGTTAAAAGAAGATAACCATCAATACTAAGATCACAAGTTGAGACAGCTGAACTCAAATTAGACTCACAAAGAGCAAGTAGGACTGGTGAGCTTTGCAAAAGATAAGACCCAACAGAAGAAAAGTTACTTCAAAGACCACAAATATTAGTTAGTGATAGATTTAGTGAACTTGGTGATGACAATGGTTTTTTTTGTTTTAAAGTTTTTGTTACTTCTGTCATTTTTTAATTTGTTTAAAGAACTTGACTTAAAGCACAGGTAGTTTTCAGTACATTAATAGTTCAAGCAATTGCCTTATTATTATTAATAAACCCTAAGCAGTAACAAAGGGCTTTAAATATGGTCTCGACTATGCATTTGATGGAATCAGCCTCTCTGAGAGCTACCACAGAGTTCGGGGAAACCTGACTACCAGCCAGCCTTAGAACCATAAAACTAAGTTTTAGAGCTGTACCCTTATTAGGATATAATAGAATGGTTTGTCTAGTCATAAAAATATAGACACAAACTTAACACATGCAATGAGTCAAGAAGATTCAGTATTCAACATCCTAAACTGGAAATAATGTATAAAAATGTATCTACACTAGCCTAATAGATGAAGAAGATGTGCGCAGCTGGTCAACAGATAGAATCTGTTTACCCCTCTTTGCCTCTTTGCCTAGAAGGCCTTTTACAAGATAGTGGCTGGATGCAGTTAACATCTGCTCAAGATGTGTATTTTTATTGAGGCACTATCTCTAGCCTTTATTCAATCAAGATCTCCTGCAGGGCAGGGGATTTTTAAGTTGGAGTTTGTTTCTTCTAGCCTTTGCTTAAAAAAGCAAACCCTACAAGGTACCAGGGCATGGCACAGGTAGTACTAGGTTACATGGTACCAGTATCAGGGTGATCGTGATGGTCCTAACCTGATATACACAATATATTCAAAATTTTCACTTATATGAAATGGTTATTTTAAAAAAAAAATTTTCTTAGTGTCACTTAATCTATGTTGATGAAAATTCACAAATTTGTAAAGAAAACTTTAAAAAGTCTTAAAAATTGTTTTTAATTTATTTGTTAAACACTTTGTTGCATAAAATAACATACATTTACAAATTGTGTTTACAAACTGTTAAAAAAAAGTACTGGTTTCTATTAACTTTATTGTTGCTAATAGTAAATGTTTGTTTTTTTTAACATGTTTTTTTTGTGTGTGTGTTTTTGTTTTGTTTATTTTGAGTGGCTGTAACCACTGATTATGTTGGTTAAGGAGTGTTATATTATGTTATGAGTGGCTGTTATCACTGATTATGTTGAATAAGTAGTGTTATATTATGTTAGGAGTGTTATATTATGTAACAAGTTAACAGGAAGCAAATAAGTGAATTACAGAGCAAGAAAGACAATATTTTTGTAGACAGACATTTTGTAGACATGTTTACGACATAATTATATTGACCTTAAAAACTAGAAGAAGTGAGTAAAACTTAGCAGTTGCTAGCTATGGTTTTCATGAAAGGCCAGTAGTGAAGGATAATTTGAGAAGACAGATAGGAGTACTCAATACTGAGTAAGGACTCATTAATAGTGCTGTCATTAATAGAAATATTAACAAAATTGTGATGTTTATTTGCAGTAGACAATTGTTTTTGATTTTATTTTTGATTAAAATTTAGCCCTTGTACACCGTATGAAGCAAGCTAATGTAGAAGACCACCACACCAGATTTTATTGCAAGACGTTGATATTTCAAAAGCCCTTGCCTCTCTGCGTCCATTTAATGTACAATAAACCTTTCTTTTATATTTGTTAACAAATCAGTTTACAAGTCAGTTAACAAGTAGAATCAGATATGTCAGAAAGTTTGACTCAAGATGAGGTATTAGAAGTTTGTTAGTTCTTTACTAATTATAGTAATAATACTGATTGGACAACAATTGTAGTAATAATACTGATTGGACAACAATTGTAGTAATAATACTGATTGGACAATATTTAAAGGAGTCAGAGTGATCTCTAGAGTTTATTAAAAATGGGGCCACAAATGCCATCTTCCAACAAGCAGGAAAATAGGATTAACTTCAGATAATATAGTTGTAAGAGTTCTGGAAAATATAAAAAGTACAGAAGCACAAGTGACTTGGATGACTAACGATTGACTTGTTTCTTTAGGATAATTGTTAAAGATTTTTCAAAAGTTTCTAAAACCTTATTTCTGAGATAAAACATGGGATTTATCTGAGAATTATGGACTTAAGAACCAAATATTAACATTGTGGACCATTTTCTTACAATAATAGAAAGACTTTTGATTAAAATTAGAAACTGACAAAAAGGAATAAAAGCTTCTGTGCCCGATTGAATCCAGGAGTTTATAAAGAAGGCACTATATATAAATCATTAACTTGAAAAAGGGGACATGCTATGTGAATTTTTGCAGGACGTGTCCCCTTTTTCTAGTTAGCAATTCATGTCTGATTTTTTTTATTATTTGTTGTGTACTATTTTTGGTTTTTAATATTTTCAATAGCAATTTAGTTTATGGTAGTGAATGGTGGCATAATACTAAACTTTTTTATTGTGTTAACTTTTTTTGTTGATTTTTTTTTCTGTAAACAATAATTTCTTTTTCCTTAACTTTCTTTCTGATTTTTTTTTCTTCCTAATTAAATTTAAAATTAAAAATTGAATATTAATAATAAAAGCTAATTAAAGTCTGTAAGAAGAAATATTTATGATAATAGTTTTTTGACTTACTATGCACCTGAAATACAAAAGTTGCTTATTCAAGTTTTATTATTGTTTTATTTTTTCAAACTTTTTTTACTATTTACATTCACAGGCTATAAAAAAAGGGCACCTAATAGATGTACGTATCAAAGAGAATTTTGAAAATTCATTAGAGATTGATGGTATTAAAGATATTGGATTTATTGATATTGCAAATGCTCCAAAGAAAAGGAATTCAGAAACAGAAATTATTGTTGGACGGTAAATCGTCAATTATAAAGAGCAATTATAAAGTAGTAGAAAATCACTTAGCAAAAAATTTTTTTATTCAAAATGAAAAAAATTTTTACCAAGTGATTTTGTACTACTTTATATATATATATATATATATATATATATATATATATATATATATATATATATATATATATATATATATATATATATATATATATATATATATATATATATATATATATATATATATATATATATATATATGTATATATATATATATAGTACATGATATATATATATATATATATGTATATATATATAGTACATGATATATATATATATATATATATATATATATATATATTTATATATATATATATATATATATATATATATATATATATATATATATATATATATATATATATATATGTATGTATATATATATATATAGTACATGATATATATATATATATGTATATATATATAGTACATGATATATATATATATATATATATATATATATATATATATATATATATATATATATATATATATATATATATATATATATATATATATATAGTACATGATTTTCACCACTTTAAGTTTCATGCTATTGCAATCATTAGGTAAAAACAATTTTTTTGTCAAACTAATTATATACAAATGCAATTTCAGTTGACTCTCCATATCTCGACTACTCAATATCTTGAACTTTTGTGTATCTTATTGTGTAACTTTATTTCTGGTCTCTTGCACACTTGTTTGAGCCAAAATCTTCTCAATATCTCGAACTCTTGGTATCTCAAATATTTTTCCTGGTCCCCTGAGAGTTCGAGATATCAAGAGTCAACTGTAGTTACATAAAACTATACATAAAAACTATTGTTGTGAGCGCATGCATCTTCAGGTTTGTGGTTGTTTAATAAAATTTTATTTGCATGACAACATTTAGAAATCAACTCTGTTTTTTTATTCAGTAGTTCTTCAGCATTTTTATCAAGTAAAATAATTAGTTTTTCATAAAAACAAAGAAAGCAATTGTTAGTTTTTCATAAAAACAATAAATGTACCTATTTAAAAGCATAAATATGCTTCTGAAAATTAATTGTAATTTAAAGTATGCTATTTATTTGATATTGCTTATTTATTTTTTTAAATGCAGCAACAGATCAATGTGATATTACATTATGTGACACAATTTTTGTTCCTGGACTCTAAGTGTTATATTTCAATTGCTAATGTCTAAAGTATGTGAAAAAATTACTTAATTAAACCCAAACTTTGCTTACACAACCACAGCACAAAGAAAAATTGTTTTTTTGTGAAAATAGAATGTTTTTTCTGTTTTTGTCATTAAGGTCAGGTTGAAATAAAAATTGCACAAGAAATAGACAAACATAGTTAAAAACCTTTCTATAAGGTTCAGAAATGTTTAGATTTTCTAGATTTATGATTGTACTGTGGATCAGTCTCTCAAAGTAGCTCCTAAATGTAGTCCCCCATCATGTTTTCTTAATACTGTCCTTGGTAACGATGTTCAATATATCTTGATGAATGCGCTCGCCTTGCTTCTTGGAGTAAGCGCCCATGTTCTCCTTGAATTTGTCAAGATGCGAATCAAAGATATGGACTTTCAGAGACATTCTTCATCCTATTTTGGCTTAATTCTTTATTAGAGAGTCTGCACTAACTCTACATAGTATTTAGCTTTGTGATTACCTAGGAAACCCTGAACAACTGCATTAAAACTGCTCCAAGCTGCTCTCTCCGTCCTGTTCTGAAAACTCAGTCCATTGTGACCAGTCCTTTGTGTAATAATATGCCTTAGTGTCGCAGCTGTCCCAGATACAAAGGAAACAAGTTATTTGAGTGGTCTATCGGCTCTCACCAAATTCACGGGATAGCAAACTTCATGGCTTGCTTCTCTCCTGTGTACCAACCTGTAACATAGCACATAAGAATTACAATATTTTGAGGACAAGAAATTTCAAAATATGGAATGATTTTAAGATGGAACGTATTTAACTACAGTACACAACTTATGACAAAACTTTGTAAATTACAACTCCTTGAAATGATTAGATTTAAATTATTGAAATTTTATGAAAGTAAATTAAAACATATCTAAGCGCGAAGCAACTGTTCAGTTTACCTTCAAGTGTTTTCTTAAAATATTTGCATGTCTTGATCCCAGACTGGCATGCTGAAGTATGCCTTGTAGGCCTCACAAATTATATGACTTGCTTCCACAGAATACTTTTTCGATCTTGTCTTTATGTATACTCTCTACTCCAGCAGTTTAGGAATATTATAGGAGGAAGCTCGGCATTGAATGCAAATCAAGAATTTTCTGAAAAACACGCAATTTTCAAAAAATTTTTGTCCGGCCACAGAAGCAAAGTTTTTTTGGAATAACAGCGGTTTCCTTGTTAATTAAATAAAAAATGTTAAATATGTTGATGTTTTTTATTTAGTTATTCTTTAAAAACTCCTTACATGATATAATTTCTTTTTTAACAATTTGTTTTTCTTCCCACTTGTTTTATAGTCCTTGTCAGAATTTTCATATTCGATGATATTCACTAAGAAGAAGTAAAATGAACAAACTTTTATAAACATAGAAATCAATTGTTTTTATAAAATGTTAATATATAACAGTATTTTTATATTGTTGTTTTATTAAAACGATTAGCTATGCTATAGCATTTTTATAATTCAATATATTTCAATTTTTTATAATTCTTATAATTTATAATCTACAATTCTTCTTTTTATAATCTACAATTCAATTATAATCTACAATTCTTATAATTCAATATAATTCAAATATATAATTCATGTGTTTGTTTATATAACTAAATTTTTAAATAAATACTAGCTACACTGGAGTAATCTCAAGCAATCTGAAATGGAAAAATCATGTAATAAAATGCGTAGGCAAGCCCAACCAAATGTTGGGTTGGATTAGAAAATGCTTTGTTTGTTTAGATATAAGACTCCTGAGAATACTTTGTGTTCTTTTGTGCAACCACTGTTAAAGTTTGCAGTACCAGTTTGGTCACCTATTCGAAAGGGAGAAATTGATTTGTTAGAAAGAGTCCAACATTGTGCAACTCAATTAATACCATCACTTAAAAAAAATCACCTATGAGAATTGTCTAAAAGCTCTTGACTTGACTGTCTTGAAAAAAAGGAGTCAAAAAGGATTCAACTTTTTAAGTTCTTCAATGATTTTAACGATTTAGAAACAAAAAAAAATTAGTATTCAACAACCTCAAACGAGAGCTTGAGGTTGTTGAATACTAATTCAAGAGGTTTTTAATATCTCTAAGAAATCATTAAGCAAGTCATAAAAACTTTTTATTTAATTAGTCAATTTATGGAATAGCTTGCCAAGTGAGTTAGTTAAAGCACAATCAGTTAACAGTTTTATATCTGGATCTTTTATTGCTGGATGGGTCATGATTGCTGGATGAGTAGCAATCAAGCAAATCGACTGTCGTAGTCTGTTAATACCACACTCACTGGCTCACACCAGTTACAGGAATTACGAATACTAATACAGGTCCTGATTAGCTGTCCGGTAAAATGAGTCTTAGTAAGCCTTTTCTACACCGACCATTATCCTTACTTAAATATTTTTTAGTAAGGGGTAGAAAAACTATACATATTGTCTACCTTTTAAAATTATGAATAAAAAATAATTAATAACATAATTAACTTAAAAAATTTTAAGCGCTTCTTTAGTCGTGACCCGAAACACTATTTATCAGCGTTTCAGATATTAGTTCTCAAAATGGATATTCTAAATAGTATTTAGAATACCCGCTTAAAATATGTTGATTAATTACAATCGGTATAAAAAGCTTTGAAATTAGACTTAAAAATATGTGGAACAATGAACTTACCTTGACCTATGGTCATGGTAAGTCTATTTCACAATGACCATTTCTATACTTATTCTTTATATAGTCGTTTTATTTCAATAATTTTTAGTAAGCAATAGAAAATAAAAATCTGTCAAATCTTTGCTTTGAACAATTTTTTATAACTTTATTGTAAAATTATAAACAATCACGTTGTACTTCAGAAGCGCAGCGTGTTAATCACTTTGGCCACTAAGGCACACTAATCAGTGTTAAACACTATTTAATAAACAACAGATAAAATAACTTTATAAAATGTTAAATAAATACTATAAATCAAAATTAAGAAGATTTTGCAGCAATTTTTAAATAAAAGTTTTTAAAAAAAAACTTTATACAAGTAAAAATTGAACTTTAAAAAAGTGTTATTTTGTATTTTAAAAAAATCAAAAGATTAAAAAAAAAATGCAGAAGCGCAAGGATTTGAACCATGACATTTTACTACAGAACGCTGCAACCTAATCTATTCGGCCACTAAAGCGTATTGTTTGATGAATATTTTAATACTGTTTAATAAACAAAATACTTTATAAAATGGCAAATAAATGCTATAAATCAAAATAAAGATGTTGCTGTAATGCAGTTTTCAATTAAAATTGTAAAACTTGATTTATTTTAACATTTTTGAAGTTTATATAAGTTAGATATTTGTATACACTTTTTGTTTACCTTTTCTTATGCAAAAAGTGCTGCGATTCTTTCTTGCCATTGGGTGTAATGGCTGCCATGAGTTCTGTGCAAACACTTATAAATGAGTAACGGCAGCAGCAGAAGCAGGACTAAATTCAATATTTAAATATTATAGGATAAAAATAATGTAAAATTTAATTTAAAAAATTTTAAAAAATTTTTAAATACCTGTTTTTCTGCCTTTTTATCACTAAAAAAACAAATACTATTCCTGAATGAAGAAGGAACAAAATAAAAATTCAGTGGAAATATTATAAATTATCAAAAACTAATAATTTGAATTTCTAGAAAAAAGCCTCCACAAGACTATCTAGGTGGGTAGCCTGTCAAGTTTTTTTTAGACAAGCCTTCCCAGGAAGCGTATGTGGTTGCATGCCTTGTTCGTCCATGCTTAAAGTAATTTTTCCTGACACTTTTAAAATGTTTCAATAATTTGCGACAAAAAGTTAAACTTATCTACTGAGAAAAAAAATTAATATTAAAAAAACGAAACAAAATTGTAAAAAATATCAATATCAAATTTTAGTTAAATAAACTAGAAAAATTTAATAATTAAAAAAAGAAAAATAAAAAAAAAAAAATTTTATAATTTTTGTACAACTTTTGTATTCTTTTTTTTTTTGGGTAGTTGTTATTTTTAACTATCCAATTGGATACAAGTTAAGGAAAAAAACATTTATAACTATTTTGCAACAATTGAAAGTTTTGACATGCAATTTATCCACAATTTTTATTAGTTCATATATTAAGAAACTAATTTGCTATATATGCTAGAACTATGAGAAACTTTGTTAAGTTTTTCTCACATTTGTTTTTTTTTTATGACTTTTCGCTTTTAAAAATGTTTTTGCTATATTTGACATTTTTTCTGAATACTTATATAATAGTAAAATGAGAAAATAAATTGCAATTTATTTGTAAAATATATTATTTAAATTTTGTAATGACAGAAGAAATTGAATAAAAAAATAACATGGTTTCTTTTATAAATGTTCTTACCATATTTGATGCCTGTCTAAAATTGTTTCATTTATATTGCCCAATTTTCAACGTTAATACTAATTACTAGAAACAATGATCATAACGATTGCTCTGTTTGAATAGATTTCTTTAACCCTATTCTGCATAGAGTATCATATATGATGCATTTTATGATAATCGATAGCATGGTTACATGAACTATGATTTTGGCAATACATTTTAATGGGGTTTTTTAATAATAATTTGTTTCCATAAATGATTAACTATAACAATTTTCAATTATCTTGTTACCTAGACAATATTTTAATTCTAAGTCATTAAAATGGCAGATATAGGTGATAAACGCTGTTAAGTTCTTCACCTATAATATGTTCATAGAATCTAGAAAACTAAGATTGTAAAAATGAAATGGAAATATCCATCTCTCCATTTGTTAAAAAAAGTTAGTTTAAAAATTTCTCAAACTTGTAACAATATGTAATTTTGTTATATATAATTGTATCAGACATGATACAGCATGCGTTAAAAGTTTGTTTATGTAAATATAATTTAATTTATTACTTTTATATATTCAAAGTAATCTTTTTGTTTAAAGTTTTTTGAAACTTATTAAATAAAATTAACTTATAAATAGAGTAATATTAAGTTATGTATGTATATTTTAATAGTATGGTATTACAATAAATTAACCTTGATGAAAGTATTGTTTTGCATTTTTAGCAATAACTACTGATTCATTTTCTAAAAAATCTTCTGCTCGCATGGTGAGGTCAACAATCTATGTTCCAAAACTTGTAGATAAAAGTTCTGATGAATGGTTATAATCTGATGATGTGGTAGATTTTAATATTCAAAAGAGACCAAATGAAATATATGAATCTAGTAGTGAATTTTAAGAAGGTAGGGAATCCGAACATAGTGACCTGAATTAGTTATGCCAACTAATTCTTTAATGACAAAAAAGAAAAGTATTTATCTAATATGATAATAAGAAAAATTAAAGCCAATGTTAAAATAATAAAAAGTGGTCATTTTGCTTTTGCAGAACATGTTAGCGATCTAGGTTCAGAACTTAGTTTCTTTGATTGATATCGCTTTCTTTACTTCATCGTAATCAGACCTGAAAAACTATTAAAATATACAGCCAGTGAAATAAAGAAATTTATTGCTTCTATTTTATACATGTTATAAAACTTCTTGCAACAAGAAATAATTGGTCATCTTCCTTTGCAGTAAACCCTGTTGCAGAAATAATGAGTCTTTAGTCATTTGAAAAGATAAAACGCTTTTTACATTTTTCTGACAATAATGAGAAAACTAGTGGGGACAAATTGCACAAAGTAAGACCCTTGATTACGAAGCTTGTTGAGCATCTTAAAAATATTCCAATTGAAGAAAATTGAGCAGCTGATGAACAAATTATTCCACTAAAAACCCAAAGAAGCAGTATAAATGGGGATATAAAGTATATATTCTTAGTGGTGTTTCAGGATTCAGTTATAATTTTGAATTGTTTACTGGAAAGTCTGACAATGTGTGTGCCCCAAATGAAATAGATATTGGTGCTAGTGAAAATTTTGTTATAAGGCTTGCATGCATTATTCCTCATAATTGCAACCATAAATTGTATGTTGATAACTGGTTTAACAATATACCATTTCAAGTTTATATGTATTGCTAAGGCATACTTATGTTAGGAATTGTTCATCAAAATCGATTAAAAAATTGAAAAAGCAAAAACAAAAAAAATTTAAAAAGCAAAAACATGGGTTTTGAGCAATTGACTGTTATTTTACAGTTATTTGTTGTGCGTTGGTTTGATAATAAAATGGTAACTTTGTTATAAAACTTTGTTGGTAGCCAACCAACGGCAGAAGTTCAGAAATTTTCAAAATCAGTAAGCAAAAAAATCCTAGTTTCATTTCCAAATGAAGCTTAAAATTATAATAAACAAATGGGAGGTGTTGGTTTACTTGACTCTCTTTTAGGTTATTTTTTTCATTTCATCAGATGAGTTAAAATTAAAAAAGTTTTGTATTTCAATTCACCTACCTATTTCAAATTCCTTTGAATTTTGGCAAAGCTTTTTTTTATAAAAAGAACATTAAATAATGATGTATTGGTTGATGAATTATATCAGTTATACTGATAAAATATACAATTTACTCGAGTGAAATGTGTAATGCTTTTTTTTTCAATTGGGACCAAATTTTTACTCCCAGCTAAATGTCTACTTTTAAGACTCTCGAAAGTTTTGTGCCATTTTAAAGTTAGTTGCACTGCACCATGGGAACATTTTAATATTTTTGTAATGTTTTGCTCACTTTCTCCTTGCGAATGCAAAAGAATAATCTGCCCTCGTATTCCTTCACTAAGTGTGTGTGTGTGAGTGTGTGTATGTGTGTGTGTGTGTGTGTGTGTGTGTGTTTACACACACACACACACACACACACACACACATTTACAGATATTTTTGCTATAATTAATCTCTTTTATACCTAGGTACTGCCTGCCTAAATCCAAACCCAATTCAATAATGTCAACAGTTGTATGTTTGTAGTATGCCCCCATCCATCTCTAGATCCATCCATGTAGTATGCCCCCATCCATCTCTCTTTTAGAATGATGTCATTAGTGATGTTTCTTATTTATTTAGGTTTATATTATAAAGTATATAAATATTACTGTAGTTCATAAAAAACATTTATTTTTGAAACATTAATTGAAAGCTATATTTAATTTTATTTCTAGGCCTTACAAACATCAAGAAGATTTAAAAGAGTTTACAGAACTTGATCAGTTAGAAAATGCATCACAAATGAATCATGACAGGTAAGAAATACCAAAGATACATTAAATTATTTATAAAAAACCTATTAACAAATTTTAATTTTTTTTAAAACTGTTTGTAAGTGTTAACAATGTTCACATTGGCTCAGCCTTGCTACTCAGTTTAACAGATATGGTAAATGTTATTCTATGAGTGAAGTTAATTTTTCAATTTTTTTTTTCAAAGACCTTTTTTCCTTTTGTTGGTGTATGATTGTTTCATGCTCTAATTACAAATTTTTCAACACAAGATCATTTATTTGTAGTTTGCTCTATGCCTTAGTTAATTATATGTTAATAAATATTGAATACTGTGAAAACATTTTTAATTTATGCTTATATTTATTAATTATAAGCATATTATTTATTAAAAAGAAGACTAATGTGAGGTTGGAGAGGTCAAAGTATTTTCTAGATAGATCGTTAGAGAGATCAAAGTTGGAGATAGTTGGAGAGGTCAAAGTATTTTCTAGTGTTTTAAAAACTAGAACCAATTTTTTTGCGCTGTTTAGCACTTGTTAATAATTCAGAGAGAGTTGACAAAACACTTTTGTAAGACTATAATAGGAATGTTTTCTGGACCACAACTCATAGTAGAGTTTAATTGAGAGTTGACTTTAGCATCAGATGCCGTAGTGATTTGAATGTGTAACACTAGGATAATTTTTTTAACTAGACTGGCAGGAAAAGTATGGTCAATGGATTCAATAATCAAATTAGAGGAAAAGTTCTTTGCAAATAATTTTATCCTTGCTTTAATTTTTATTCCGAGATGATCATAGAAATGAAATGTTAGATCTTAGTTAATGACACTATTGAAGATTTTCCAAAAGTCTCAAAAACCTAACATCTGAGATAAGATACAAGATTTAATAAACTAGTAATAAACCGACATTTGTTCTCAAGAGAGATATTCTTGTGAAAAAGATGAAAAAATTGACTTCAATTTAATATAGCAACTGTACAAGACTTTCTTTATAGTTATTATTTTCTTTATAGTTATTATTAGACTTTATTTATGATTTTGTATGGTTTTGTTAAGAAAACCATAAAAAATGAAGCTTGACATGAAACCGACTAGAAGTAATAAAAGCTCCCATACCTGTTTGGGTATCAGCAGGTAGAGAGGTAGCAGCTTCAGGAGAAAAAGTTAGAGGTAGAAGTAAGAAAACCTAGAGAATGCATTCCATATCGTTTGAGCAAGCTTCAGTTAGGAAAAGAAGATGCTTGAGATGATTTATATTAGAGAAACAGCATTAAAGGGTAGACAAAAGCTTTATGATAATGATAATAATGATGATGATCATCTTCATTATCCACATAATGATGTTAATGTAACATTGGACACAAACCCAGGTATGTTTTACCAAACCTGACCCTGGGCCTGGTCAAATATGAATCTTAGTCACTTACTAGTGAAATCTGGTGTCACATTAATCATGTGTCACAGTTGTTTCAATCACTAAGTGTAACACTGGCCACAAACCCAGGTATATTTTACCAAACCTGGCCCTGGGCCTGGTCAAGTATCAATCTTAGTCACTTACTAGTGAAATCTGGTGTCACATTAGTCATGTGTCACAGTTGTTTCAATCACTAAGCTATCACCATAATTGATTGAAATTTGGATGATTTTAAATTAAGTTTTCTCAAAAACAACTTAATCAATTTAAATGATTTTTCATTTTGATGATAACGGCAAATAAATAATTATTATTTAAACGAAAAAACTTAATTTAACAAAAATTAAAACAATTAAGTTCTTAACTTAATCAATTTAAATGATTTTTGATTTTGATGATAACGGCAAATAAATAATTATTATTTAAACGAAAAAACTTAATTTAACAAAAATTAAAACAATTAAGTTCTTTATTTTTTTCTTAACTTTACGAAATGCCAAAAAATTTAATTTTTTCTAAATCCGCCAAAATTTTACTTTGTGTCACTTTTTTTGTAGCATTAATCCATAAATCTTGTAAATTTTTAAAATTATATTCACTTATATTCAATTGCCTCAGTATTCCCTTCACAATTGCCCAGTAAGATTTGATGACTTGCTACTCAGGACAGTTAGCCATCCTTTGAAGCAAAATTATTTTTTTATTACTCCATTACCTTTTTGGAATTGTGGATTAATGACATTTCTGGTCTGTAAGTTTTAATAATAAATAAATTTAATTTTGGAAAAACGTCTTTTAATTAATGGTTTTTATTTGCTTTTATTTGTACTTAAAGTGATCTCTTTAAAGAAGAGATTTAAAGTGATCTCTTTGAAGAAGTCGTTTAAAGTGATCTCTTTAAAGAAGAGGTTTAAAGTGATCTCTTTAAGGAAGAGGTTTAAAGTGATTTCTTTGTGCTCAAGGTTTTTTATGCTTATTTTTTAAATATTTAAACTAATCTAAAAAGTATGATTTTTCGGATTTGAAATCGTTTCTAATATTTTTGTTTATATGATTTATTAAAACGTTTTTAAATTTATTTTTGAATTTTTTTATATTTTGTTTAATTTGTAATTTGTTTAAACTTTGAAATTATCTTTAGGTCTTATTACCACACGCTTAACAACCAGCTATTACCTAGTCTGGCACATCATGATATAAAAGCTGAAGATGATATCGCTCCAGAGTGGTTAAAGGAGAAAACTTTAGAGGCAATTGTTTTTACTCCTGAGTTAAAGAAGGTTGCGTTCGATTTTTATTCTTTTACTTAAATTTATTTTATTTTAAATCTTTGTCTAGATGATTGAAGAATTTACTGATTTAAATGCTGGTGAGAAGCAACTGATGAAATTGTGGAACATTCATGTTTTAGAAAAAAAGTAAGGGCTTTATTATTGTTCAATAGTTGGTTTAGACAAATTTGCCGTACGGCAACGTATACCCGACAAGGAAATTTGGTGTGGGCCGCATGTGCTATTTAATGATAGCTGCACTCGATTTATGGGATGGCGTAAATGTGGGCCATATGTGCTTATGGTATTTATACATTTTTGGTGGTAACCACATATGGTCCACATGTAGCTATAATTCCTACGCCACTTATGTATTATAAATATCATAGTCATACATGGCTCACATTTATGCCATCCCATAAATCGAGTACGGCTATCACTTGTGGTGCGCATCAAATTTTCTTGTCGGGTATCCTGTTTATCATATTTATATTGAATTTATGAGATTTATTTTATGGTTTAACACTTTAGTTATATTGCTGACTTCACTTGTGCTAGAGGGTGCATATCTTTTGCCGAGGAATATGGTAAAGAAATTATTCAAAACAATCTAATCAAAAATTTTATGCTTCATCTAAATAACTTAATTGATTTTCATATTATACCACAATCTGTGCTGGTTAAGTCGATGGCTATCATCTACAAGTTGAAAGAAGAACTTTTACCAAAAATGTAGAAATTGCGGAAAATAGTTTCACTACTTTACCCTTCTCTTTCGCTTTCTTCCTTGTTTCTACTTTTCTGTTTAGTTGTCCCTATAGAAATTTATGTTTTAGGTAGAAAGACATAATATACGATATTTTAAAGAAAGCATCTTTTATGTTTGGTTACTTGCATTATTTTATACTCAGAATTAAGTTTAATTACGTAACATCCAGTATTTGATGGTAAATCACAGTGGACGTATTAAGTCTAAATTTGATTTTTTTTTTTCAAATGGTGCTTTATTATGGCCTTGTTTATAAGGACAAGCACTAAATGGGTTTATCTTCCCCCCCCCCCCCCCCACCTCTTTTTTTTTTTTTAATTGGTTGTTTTTGAACCTTTTTATTGTCGGTATGAACGTATAAAGAAGAAATTTAAAGAAAAAAAAAAACACTCATCTAAATAGTGAGCTATATAACGGATTGGCTTGAAAATAAAAAAGGGAAATTTTTCAGATCTTGGATTCTGTTCGCATAAAGTTAAAAAAATTACCAAAACAATTAAAAAATTATTTAATTAAATAATTCAATTAAAAAACGAATATGAAGAAGGTGTTTTCTAACGCATTTTTAATCGTGCTTTTATATTCCCGGAATGCTTCTTTTCTCCTAAAATTCATAAAATATTTATACACGTATGGCAGGCGTCTACTTAATAAACCGAGAGCATTTCAAAACTTGGATTTTTAACTTGATAACGATCATTGATTTGGTTTTAAAAATATATATAATTTTATATAAATTTTAAAACCTTGTTTTAAGTTCTTAAAAAACTTTGTCGAAACCGACACCGTTTGTTTTTATTGAAAAGATTATTAAAAGTTTTTATAAAAGATTACTTCTTAATTAGTCGAAGTAAATATAAAGTGTATTTTTACTATTGTATATCTACTAATGTAATAATTGGGATTAGAAACAAATATTTAAAACGTATGTCTGTATATTTATAAAAGCCTTAAAGATTATTATCTATAAATTTTACGTTTTTTATTTTGAAAATATATTTAAAAGAGTTGGTGCTTTTTTGTTCGTTTATTATATTTATTTTTTGACAATTACATTCACTCTCACTGTATAGTCGTTTAAGGTCATTCACCCTTATTCACTTTTATGTTATTTCATCTGTCTTTGTGCTTATTTTCAAAAACCTTCCCAATTAACAATTAAATCTATAAAAAAAATTTGTAAACGATTCTTTATGTTCTTGCTTTTTAAACCCTTCTAAAATTTTCGTTTACGAATTTTTCTTAGAAAATAGATACAGTTTTAAAACGAAATGTCTACATTTCAAACTTCCAACAACTTACAACTTTATATCTTTACTAATAATAATTTTTATAGAGTTTATTTCTTAAAGAAGTTGATTTAAGCAAACATCTAATAAACAAATCAAACTTAATACCTTGGATCTCTAAAAATTGTCTAAGTTTATTTCTAAAAAATTGCAAGTTGAAAAAATTTTAATACTAAAGAAATAAAGTATCGACATATTAAAAAGTAGCAAAAAAACTTACAACTTTATAACTTATTCTAATAACAACTTGAACGACATAAAAAATATCATGGCATGAAAGAATTTATAAACATGAATTCATCATACCATAATGCATTCAATTCAAAGTCTAAATAAAAATACGATCAAAAAGTCATGCTTTTCTAGTTAGCCTAATGTTCACTAAAGTTCTTTTTTATCCTCAAACTAGGGTGTTTTTTTTCACCGCCTCTAACCAAGACTAATTAACTAAAGCGTTTACAACTCTTCCCGTTTTAACATCTCAAAATTCATATACGAGAAAGGTAATTACGCCAAACTAAAAGAAAAACTTTCCCAACTTGATTGGGTAAATCTATTCAGAGACCAAAATGCCAATGAAGGCTAACATATCAAATGCTGCGACAACAATATCAAATGTTGTGACAAATTCATTCTGCGCGCCCCTTTAACCCGACCAAATCGCAAGATAAGAATTATTTTGTTTTATCTCCACATTTTTGAGTTTTGAGATTTAAAAAATAAAAACTTTAGAAAACGTCATATAGAAATATTTTTATTTCTTATGTTTTCTCTGCAACTATTTTTTGATTATAACTTAGGTTTCAATATAGTAGAAATATATTATTTTGAGGTACATAATACGATCAATAACTCGAATTTATCAAAAAGTGGAAACAAAATAATTTTTACCTCGCGAAATGTAGACAGTCTTACCTGACCAGCAAACTTCTCTCGCAACCTAAACTCAAGAAAACACTTTCATACTTCGTCCATAACAGCAAATCGCTCCAACTGTCAGAGTAAAACCTCTTCAAAAAAAGTTTCTTGCATTGCTACTAGAGCATTCTGAACACAATATAACCATTGACAAACGGAACCCTAAGTGTTTCTACGCCTATGTTAACAACAATCGTGTCGTCAGCAGCCAAATAAATTGTATTTGTTTACCCAATAGGGAAATAAGCATCAACTGAGCATTTATTGCCAATATACGAAACAATCAGTTGATGTCAGGGTCGAGCCGTCCGATGAATCTCTACCTCTCTTCTTAAAAGTGCAATCGTTAAGAAAGGAGGCGTGAACTTTCTTTTAAATGCTCTTTCGCGGTCTATATAATAAGACCATAAGAACTTCTTTTGGTACAAAAAAAAAATTCTTCTCCGTTATTTTAACTACGACTCCGTTCACAAACACTTATCTGCTCTCAACACCAACCAGGTAACTGGAGATGATTTGATTAGCCCATTTGTGCTTAAAGCATGTGCCAATGCGGGGGCTGTCTCTCTCGTTTTCATTTTTTAGAAATCATTGGATCCACTTAACCCAACCCATTTTTCAAAAAAGAAATGTAACCCATTGTTCGATCTCCATCACTCCATACCATGCAAAGTAATAGAAAAAAGTTTAAAGACAAGGTAATGTGGCACCTTGTATTCAACAAAAGAGCACAACGCTAACGGCAAAAGCACCAGAATAGAACTCTAGTTAACAACATCCGAAAAAGACCTTGTTGTTCATATCTCCGGCAACTTAAAGCACGAAGATTAAGTAAAAGTCGCCGCTGCCAAGCCAATAAAGTCCTTAGAATCTTAAAAATACACCTTCATCAGGTGAAACATCTAAGTATGGAAAAAATTTTACATCACCTATGTATGCCGACATTTCGAGTTTTTCGAGTTCGCGGTTACCTCCTGATTACCGCACCTTGAAAAAGACATGAATGCCATAGAATGCATCCAGCACCTATGAAGCGCTTCAACTACTAGACAATATGCATTAAACTTAGCCTACAAAATTGGAACAACATTGACTTAGTTAGCATCCTATAGCTGCAGTGATCGAATGCTTTTTCATTGTAAAATGTATAACAATTGTCTTATTTGTTTTAACCTCTTCCCCACTATAAGAGTATCATTAGCTAAAACTACAACTTTAATACTTGGTGCTAACTTTAAAGCATAACCTTGGTATAGATGTATTCTATGCCCTGCAGCCATAAGATGTTTTGCTAGCAGCAAAATAAGTTCTATCTTGTTTTGTTGATCTATTAAAATTCTATTTTTTAATCTTTTTAATCCTTTCAACTTGACAATAGATCAATAATTTTTGGATATAAAATATTTTTCTTCAACAACAGTTGAGCTAACTAAAAATAAAACAAATACATTTGGGTTTACAGAATGTAAACTGACTCTATGACTTTTCAAATAACCGTTAGTAAAAAGGAGTTTTGATTACAATCATTAGGAAACTAAAACCATGTTTACAACATTGCAACTCTTTTTGTTGATAGACCATTAAAAACCAGTATTGAATTCAGTACTTAAAACAACATTTTTATAAGAATAAATGAAATATAAAATAATAAAAATAACTTTCTAAACTATGTTTTCTACCACAGTGGCGGATCCAGGGAGGGTAATTTGACCAAAAAAAAATCCGCTTTTTTTTTCTTCAGATAAACCACTTTTTTATTTGATCATTTAGAATTTTTATAGAAAAATTTGCTAATAAATATATTTAATGTATCTGTTTATAAATATCTTGAAAAAATCAAACGTTAAAAATAAATATTTAGTTTGTAATAAAGGACGGATTTTATTTCCACGATACATTTAAAAATTATCGTGGCCGTATCGAGCCCGCTAAAATCATAGTGCACAGGTTGAAGTCTTGTCTGCTTATAGGTAAATCTGGCCCTGTCTGTAATGTGCAACAAAAGACAAAATAATATATTTAGTATATTCTTTTTTTAATAAAGACTTTTATAAATTTAACAAACTACAATATAAAATTGAGCTTTCTAGTTTTTGAAGATGCAAAACTATCAATAATCTTTTCGACACGATGACCTCGCAGAGCAATATTCTTTTGGCCAAGAAATATTATAAATTTAATTATTGGCTTTAGATGTTCTTGATTTTCTTTAGCCTGTTTAAGTCTTCCTTCGTTAACTAAATTACGTACATCTGTAAACGGACATTCATATGTTCTGATCAAATCTGATGCTGCCAACATAGCAACTTTGTAATTGTAAGTCTCCATCCTTACGCTCCATCCAAAAGCTTTGAATAACTTTTAAGAGGTAAAGTAACTAACTTGAGTAATTGCACTTGACGTGTATTCTCCCAACTTTTGCAAAAAGAAAGCAATACTTACAAAAATTCCATAAAGGCTTTCTAAAATCATTATCCACGGAAATTTATGTATATGTTTCTCGGACAAAAATTATTATCCACAGAAATTTATGTTTCTCGGACAAAAAGCAATTAACATTTTTACCCTTCTTTAAATGCACAGAAAATGGATATTTGTAATTTGGACCAGGAAACCAATTGCATTTCATTATTCGCCATTTATCTTGTTCAGTTACCTGATGTGTTAAAATTAGGGTATTTTTAGTCTTTAGGAAACAGCTATCATCTTTTGTCGCGGGTATTGAATCTTCTTTATTAATGTCTGCGTTAGTTTACTTGTAAAATTAGCAGCTTCCATACCAAGTCCAGATTCTAGAGAAAAAGGACTGAGTTTTATTGTAATTTGATTGACTTTACCCCCGCCAATAAATTCACAATTAAATTGTTCGGATGATGACCCCGAAGATAAAGGGAAAACGATAGGACCAGCATGTATGCCCTGTATTGGTAGAATTTTAATTCTTTTGAAAAAATGGTCATCTAAAAAGCTTGTCCTCTTTACCCTGTTGGTCATTGTAGCTACCGTATAATCGGGTGGCTTTGGCCCATTTTGCACCTTAATGTCTATTGCATGAAAGCCGCAAAAGTTATTTCCTCAAACACTAAGTACTTTTAGAAGTGCATAGAAAGGACAGTTAGAACTATATGTCTCCCATTTGAAAATTATTTACCTGAAGTATCTTTTGGGTGGTTTAAATGATAATAAATTAATTTTTTTAGATTAATTAGATGACGTGTTTGTTCAATATAGTCATACAATTGAAAACTATTGAAAATTTTTATGTTTTGTTATAAAAAATAAAACATTTAAAATATACTATGGATATTATATGCATAACATATATAAAAACATTACATACTGTAACAAACGAAAGGAAGAGAGTTTTTTAAAAAGCTTTTTAAAATTTCTAAAAACATGAAAACACCATTGGAAAATTTTTGCACGTATGTCATGATAGAGATAATTATAAGCACATAAAGTTTATGTGCTTTTAATTAAGAACAACTTACGTTGTTAATGTGCTTAAGTAATTAGCTTCCGCGTTTATATGCCATTACATATGGCATATAAAATATGCCATTAAAGTTGGCATATTTTATATGTCAATTTTAACTTTCTTCAAAGTTAACGGAGCAAGAGACCTAATAAACTGCAGATGGTCTGAAAAAAAATTAATAGAAACTTATTAAAGAAAAAAATAATCAATCTCCTTCCTTCAAATCTTTTATTAAGGTGAGTTTCCACTCATCCGTTTTTTTACGGGAACGGGATAGGAAAGGGAAAAATAATCACGTGAGCATGCGTAGTTTTCCTTCGGACAAATTAAAACTTATATTACGCATGCCCACGTGATTATTTTTCCCGTCCCTTTCCCGTTCCCGTGAAAAAAGGATGAGTGGAAACTCGCCTTTACGCATGCTCACGTAATTATTTTTTCCTTTCCTATCCCGTTCCCGTAGAAAAACGGATGAGTGGAAACTCGCCTTTAGTTGATAAATCGGGATTCGCGTAACGGCTACCGAAACGTTTAAAAAATTTTTAAAGTTAAACTTTTTTGTGTTCAAAGCTTTAAAAAGTAAATAATGAGTATAGTTTTTGTATATGGATATAGTTAGTTTTCTGTCGCCAACTAAAAAATATTGAAGTAAGGAATATGTATAGAAAAGGTCGGTCTACAAAAACCCGTATTTTACGGATCCGGATTAGTTTTATAATAATTTCTCAACAATTAAAGATTCAAATTCTACTTAAAAATGGCTTAAATAACCTCCATTTTGTACCGTGACTTTTTAAAATGATATTTTGAGATAAATGTAAAACGAAATCATACCTTAAATAAAAGTTTAATGTTTTATTTGTTTAATACTGCTAAGTTTTTAATGATGTTCAACATTTTTTGTAGAACTGTTTTAGTTCGCGCGCGCAAACACAAACATACACAGAAAATACACTGAGAACACGTGATTTTATAAATGGATAATTTTTTTTCATTTTTTATTTTTTATTATTATTCGCGTATCAACTGCCCTCTCTTCCAATATATGTAGTGCCAAATGGTCCACCCCAACTTGGATTTGTTTTGCATAACTTTGGTTCAATTCTCCAATATGGATCAAAACTTTTCCAATCCATAATTGAGTCATACATACAGAAACTACTAAAGTTTTCAAGGGAGTTGTTTTTGTTGTAATTTTTGGGACCTCTGTTTTTCCACAATGTTCTCATTTGTATTGGATAACTTCCATGAACACCAATATAATCAGTGCAAATATTTTCTCGAGATTTAAAACTTTCAATATCTCGAGCTGGAGGATGATGGTGCAAACGGTTATCATGATGATATAATTTTGTAAGATTAAGCTCGTTGTTCCAAATGCCAATCATCTGATCTGCCCATCTGTTGCATAGTATTTTTTCAGGATCTTGACCTAAGAATATTTCAATTACGTCTCTTGATAATAAAATTATGCTTTCTTCAGGACGAACAATATTTAACGAACAATGAACCCAGCCCCAATGATAAAGTTTCTTGGGAGGCATAGGAACTTCATCAAGAAATCGTTCCATACATACAAAATAGTCGTCGTCAAGACGCAAAAAATAATCAAAGTTTATGTTTTGCATGGACCAAACCATATGATAAAGAAATCTCATACCGAAATCGTAACCTCCGGTTAAATTTTGAAAATATAAATCGCCATACTTTTTAGCCTCAAACAAAAGATCTTCACCAAGTTTTGTGTCTAGATTTTTCCGATCCGTGAGAAACACGCATTTTATAGAAACCTAAAGAAAGTTGATTTTGTAGTTATAAATTAATTTAGACTAAATATATCTTTTATAACAATATATATTATTACATACATAGATTGTAGTTAATATGAGGGATAAAAAAAAACTTTCCATTTAAGAGCTCTATCCTAAATGGCCATTTGGATTTGCAAACTTACCGACTTTTTTATTTAACTTTTTTTGATTTGGTAAAAAAAAGTTTTTATTTATTAAGGTGCTCTGAGACGACCTAACGGTCTCATCACAGAGCACCGCGGTTGAACATTTAACACGGAAGTTTACGCCTCCTTTCTTACCAATCTTGTTTATTGGGCTAGAGCCGGCGTTGAACCTCATGAAACTTCAACCAAGAAGAATAATTGGTATTTGGTTGAATAAAAATGATTTGGTTGAATGAAAGTGATTTTGGTTGAAAATGAAGTCATTATTTAAATCCAAATCAAATTCATTTACATGTGGTCTCAAAACTCATTTAAAGTAATTTATTCCTATCTTATTCAACTTTCATTTACGATATTTAAAATATACTTTATTTGAAACTCAATTGAGATATTTTATGTTTTTTATATAACAGAATAATCCGCAAATATTATATAAATAGTAATAAAGACATCCGTACAAAAACTTTAAATTACCGGTAACTTATTGTAATTTCTCGGCAACGAACATAAGCTATTTACCGATAAAGGTAATATTTATAATAATAACCTTTGAATGAAAAATGAGCATCTTATTATTTTGAAAACAAACATTTATTACCGACTTGCTTATATTAGAGAATAATTGTGCAGCCGTGGCGCAATCGTTAGAGTTCTGAACCAAAAGGTCTGAGGTTCGATGCATATAGTTCAATAAACGACATTGGTAAGAAAGGAGGCGTGGGCTCTCTAGTTAAATGCTCATCTGTGGTGTTCTCTGATAAGAATGTAAGAATTTCCAGAAGCACCTTAATAACTGCATCAACAACAAAAAAAGATTTGGTTGTTCAAATTTTTACAAATGTATTAAAAAAATATGAGAAATTGATAATTAAAAAAATGTAATCAAAAATTTTAATCTCGGAATGTTCTTTAAATCTCTTTCAAAAGTTTTAATAATATTTTTAGCTTTGGTTAACAATTTTATCGGAATTTTAAATTTGTAAAAAAAAAAAGAAACTTTTATTGATCTCTTACTTGGATGTTCCGCGTGGTTTTGAATGGGAAAATAACTAAAGTATGACTAATTAAAGTTATAGTTTAAAAAATTATAGATACGCGTTAGTTTGATAGATGCGCTTGCCCAGACGATATTACAAAACACTGATAATCAGTGAAGATTTTAATTAAAACACCATACATAAATAAGTATACAAATCGCATACTTATTGGTTTTTTTCTTAACAAAAGAATTGTGTGTGTTTTAAAATATATTTTAAAAGATACTATTATTATCATTTTTTATTATTTTAAAATAAAAACTTTTAGTTATTGTATCATAATAGAGTATTGTAAAACACTAATAAATAGATAAAGTAGTATACAAATATTAACTTTTAATAGTCAATAACAATTTTATCATCTACATTATCATATTAATTTAGTTAATATTTTTTTAAATCATAATTTTGAAATTAATAATAATAAAAAAATTAACATTAACTGCAGGGCCGACGACATGGGTTTCGAAGTGGAGGACACAATCGTCAATTTTTAAAAAAAGTCCTCTATATTTAGATCTTTCTTTTTTTTTAAAAAAAAGTCCTTTAAAAAAAAAGTGAAGGGTACGTGCTCCCTCCCCCCCGCCTTACCTCCTCCGGTGTTGTCGGCTCAGTAACTTATTGTATACTACTTTATCTTTGTAATGATATCCCAAGTGTTAACTTGTTGTTTGTAATTTGATTTTCTTTATATTTTGATTGTTAATTTTGTTAGTGAAATTGTTGCACATTAAGCAGAATTTAACAAAAGATTGTTACATTTGTAATTTACTGTTGACAACTTTTATTTTATGGTACGATTTCTTTTTATTTTTACTTTGTTCCACTCAGCCAACTAATGGTAAGTTAGTATTTTGTAAGTTTTGGTAATCATTATAGATATACAAATATAAACATTTATGCTTCATGGTTTAAATCATATTTTTTTTAATCTTTTTAAACTTTTTAATCTTTTTAAACTCCTTCATCAGTTACTAAAGTTAGTAATTTAAAAAACTCATCCAATCAGTGAACAGGTTTAATTCTAGTTTTAAAGATTTTTCGATTCATTGCATACATTAATTTCATTTTCATATGCTATGTCTGGTAAATTTAAAAACCATTATTTTCCCATCAATTGCAAATTTAATTTTTATTACAACATTTTAAACTTTCTTCCATCTTACTTCCATCTTACATCTTCCATCTTGAACTGCAAAAAATAGTAAGTTAAACAACTATTGTTTTTTAAATTTTTTTTGCATTTCTTGTCAATTGCGATATTTTTTATAATTTTAGTTGCATTTTTAACTGCAACAAGTGGTATGTTTAAAAATTTTTTTTATTGTATCCTACAAAACTCTTTTTAATATGTGTATGTATTTCTCATCAATTGTAATATTTATTTTTTATTACACCTTCTTTAACCTTAGTTCCATTTTTTAGTAGTTTTTTTTTTAATCTTTAGGTTCATTTTCTGCTGCTACGACTGGTAAGTATAAAAATTATTACTAAATAATATGTGTATACCTTTCTTATCAAATGCAAAGACTATTTTTTATTTCATTTTTATTTACCTTTAGTCCCACCTGCACAACCTTCTGCAGGCTAATTTATGCTTTAAAAATGATTATTGAATTCATATTATTTCTGTTTATATATACTGTTTAATACATTTGCATTGTGCTATCCCTCAAAGTCTTATAGAATGAAAATCAATAAAAGTATTTTAATTTTTACTCTGGTTAACATTTATTATTTACTCTGGTTTGACATTTATTATTTACTCTGGTTAACTTTTATTATTTACTCTGGTTTGACATTTATTATTTACTCTGGTTAACTTTTATTATTTACTCTGGTTTGACATTTATTATTTACTCTGGTTTGACATTTATTATTTACTCTGGTTAACTTTATTTTATTCAACCAATCACTTTCACAAGTAATTGGTTTATATTAAATATTAAATAATACCATTCATTATTAATATGTTTATAATTAATTGTCATTTAGAGCTTACATATAAAGCTTATAGAATTTATAGGTTCCGGCATACTGGACCCACCAGCAACCGATCATGTTTGTGGTGGGTCTAGATTGGAGGTCAGGATGAGGCATTGTTTACATGGCCTTTTCATCATCCAAAGTGGGGAAATTGTTCACTAAAATCCCATACAAGAATTAATTATATTTTTAGTTTCAAAAGACTTTAGTGTGTGTGTTATTTATTGCTTTTGTGTTTTTTTTGGTTGGAGTGGTTAATCTGTTCCTTTACATGACAAAATAGATACTTAGACGTATCTTGTAATGTAGTAAATAGTTTTTTATAATAATTTTTCTCTTTTTGAAAAAGCATTTTAATACTTTTTTTTGTTAAATACTCATTAAATTTTTTTTTTTTTAGGTTAGGGCATGTAGGATGGGGGGGGGGGGGCATGCGTCTCTTTTCATAAAGGCAATTAAGTTAATATTTTGTAAATTTTTAAAATATATATTTTATTTTTTATACTAGATTAATTTTTAGTAAAGATTGATACTTTTAAAAGAATGAAGTTGAAAAAAAAAAATGAAGTTGAAAAGAAAACTTTATCAAACGAATGCGCTGGAAAACATTTTTTTACAACAACAAAAATAACAATGTGACAGAAACAATTGAAACCTTCGGATTTAAAACAAACAAAACACCACCGCAATGCAAAGAACTTGAGCACTTTGAAGCTGAATTATTTGCTTTAGTAAAATCAATAAAATTTAAAAAAACTTCCACCGAATTTCAAAAAAAACTAAAGAATGACATATCAAACATAAAATCAAATCCCAATATCTTGATATTTGCAGACAAAACTAGCAATATTTATGAACTAACTCCCAAAGACCACGCTAAACTTCTGAAAAAAATCACTAAATCGTATAAAAAAGCACCATTAAAACTTGAAAACGCAATAAACCTTGAAGCAAAAAGCATAGCAAAAACAATAAATGTATCCAACAAATCTAAAATAGTTGCCAAATCAGAAGCGTTCATCACTCTGAAGGAGTGATGAACGCTTAAAATCAATTTTCAAAACATAAAACCATAAAATCAATTTTCAAAACATAAAACCCTGCCGCCTAATAAATATAGCAAAGAGCAAACTTGGCATAAAAGAAAAGAAACACTGCACTTTTATCCAACTCGACATCACTAAATTTTTCCCACACCCACACCCATCCATCACACCCACACCCATCCATCACACCCACACCCATCCATCACACCCACACCCATCCATCACACCCACACCCAAACATCACACCCACACCCATCCATCACACCCACAATTCTAAAAAATGCTCTAACGTTTGCAAAACAACTTATAAAAATTAGCGAAGAAGAAATCAGAACAATTATCAATTGCAGAAAGTCTTTGTTATTTTTCAACAACGAAACTTGGAAAAAAAAGTCAAATAACGGCTGCTTCGACGTTACAATGGGTTCTTATGATGGAGCCGAGGTTTGCGAGCTGGTTGGTCTGTATATATTAAATTGAAACTGTTACCAACAGTGATATGGGCCTTTACTGGGAAAACGGACTGATAATAATGCGTCAAAAATCTGCCGCACAGATTGATAGAATCCGAAAAAATATTATAAAATTTAATAAAAATATCAGCTTCCAAATAGAAATTATGACAAACCTAAAAATTGCTAACTTCTTAGACGTTACATTTAACCTTCATATCATCCTTTCAAAAAACCAAATAGCAACCTACTTTACATCCATACTGAGTCCAACCACCCCCACAAATTATTGAACAAATTCCGATTGCTATC